GATCATGCAGTTTTAGTAGTGGGAACAGGGAGGAACGCAGGGGGCAAACGCCACCTGTGCTTTTGCAGGCGGTGCTGATGCCCCAGGTGCTGAGTGAGAGCCGGGCCTGGGGAAGAGGTCCGTGCATGCTGGCCCGCCCCTCCGCCTCTGGAGAGTTCTGCAAATGCTCCTCACCCTCTCTGGAAGACCCTGGGGCACAAAGGCCGAGGATGGTTTACTTCACACTGCCTCTTAGCAGGGGTACAGCCTACCTGGTCTCCCCACCGTTCCCAAAGCCAGCACTGTTGGGTGTGCCTTTCCCACTGTCAGGGCGCTTTGTGCTTAACCGCCCACCTGTGAGCTGATGTCGAGTGAGTATCTGCTTCACCGTATCCGCCTTTTGCCTAATGGTTTCAGCATCCATGGAGAATCCTTGCCCGAGACAGTTATATCGTTAGGGTCTTCGAAATGGTGATTTCACTCAGATAGTCCTCCGTTACTTTGAAGCTAGCACGCCTCTGTAGAGAGGACTCTTGCTGCTGTCCAGCTATCCCAAACTCGGGCTCTGAGGGAAAAGGTGGGACCCGGGCTAACTTCTTCCTCTTTACTGGTTTCACTAAGCTGTCATCTTCTAGTGATGGCGAGCGAGGTTTTTGAAAACAAAATTTTCTTCTCACTCTCTCTATCATTCTGGGCTTAAGAATTTGCTAATGTGTTTCCATCCATTACGCTCTTATTCTCTTTGCTTCTCAAATTGTTCTAAGTTTGGCCCGTGGGAAGAAATCTTAGAAATCAACGAATCCCAATCCCTAAGTTTTACAGGTGAGGAGACTAAAGTTCAGCCATTGGCGACAGCCTAATTGTCACAGCTAATTCACGGCAGTGCGAGGGTCGGGATCCAGCTTTCTCGAGGCCTCGGCCGGTGCTTTCTCACTCTTCCGAGAGAGATTTGCAGTAAATCTTGCTTTCAACTTCTCACTATTAATATTTAGCAAAATGAGAGAAAATGGCCCATGTTCGCAGCCGTTCATCTTGTTGTTGTTGTTTATTAGAAGTTATCGTCTAACAGTGGGCGGCAAATCGAACGGATTTTGTTTCGTTTGGAGACGGCAAAGAAGCCCCATGGCAGACCGGGCATCCCGCTGGCCTGAGAGCGGAGTGTGGCTTGGACAGTTCGGTGTCTGCAGGTGGAATTTGTCTTGGAGTCACTTTTTATTTGACTCGCTCAGAATTCTGAAAACCAGGACTTCATTGCCCATAGAGAGCAGTCACGCTCTCGCACCGTAACCTGAGTCGTTGGCCTCCCTGAATTATCTGCAGCTGCCCGGCAGCGTTCAGGCGGAGTGAAAACCTGTCTAAGCAGGTGTGCGCGTCCCCCGCCCAGCCCGCCTCCAGCCCGCTCCCCGACGTGTCCCTCACGCATCTGTTGCGGGATGTCTGGTGTCATGCTGCTTCCTGCCTAACTTGGACGCATTTGAGCGTGTGGCCCTTGGGAGGCTCCTGCCATGAAACCACAGACCGAGGTGCTAGCACTAAGGTGGGCACACATGAAAGGCGAGGAGACAGTAGAGCCCGCCGTGCTCCGCTGCTGTGAGGTGTGAGGTGTGAGGTCCTCTGCAGCTTCATCACAGGAAGTGAAACCCGCGATGGCAGGAAGTCAGCTGGAAAGTTTTGGAATTCGGTTCCCTCCCTATCATTCATTATGAACCTCACCTTAGTTGTTCAATATGTTTATTACACACGTGTACGTGTAATTTATATTGTAATCATGAAAGGTTTTCATTTTCGTAGGCCAAAAATGGTCGAATATAGACAATTTCATATGGTTCAACTAAAAGAAAAATATTATACATATATGTATATATAAAATATATATACAATACGTGCTTCAGGTTTTCCTTTCGTATGGATGTTACCGGAACAGGTTCGAAGCCCCCAAGGCAGAAGAGGCTTATCGTCAGGTTAGAACTTCCACGGGAAGTGGTTAGTGAACAGAGCAGTGTGTACAACACAACTCTAATTGTAAGGAAGTGCAGTTTGCGTAGTAGGAGCCACAGTGAACACAGGTTTGGAGGAGGGCGTGGGGCGGGTAGCGGGAGCTGGGGCTCTGAGGGGCAGCCTCAGCGAGAGTGGGTCTAGTGGGTGTAAAATCATTGTCTAAAGCCAAACATAAATTGCTTTCATCATGCTCAGCGTTTCTTACCGCAAATGCTGTGGGCAATTAGGAGTCGGCGCTTCACATTTTTGTAATCTTGCAGCCACAGAAACTCAGATTTGTTCGATCGGCTTATTCTGACACACTCACGAGTGTGCTGCGGCGGAGGGCCAGGTGTGCCTGTGCAAGCCTCCCCGTGTGTGTTTTCAAGTCAGTGGTTTTCACACTGGGTGGCAACCCATGGGCGCACAGCGAAATTAACTTATTGGGTCAAAACCAGTATCTTAAAATGAGCGATTAAGATGGAGTAGAAAATATGGAGGTGCATCGTCCAGAGAAAGGGTCGTATCGTTTCAGGGGATTTATATTTTAGTTTTACACGTGTGCATTCCTGTGTGTAAACGTGCCTATGCTAGGCTGAGATGCGAAATGCGTTTCTTACTCTGGGTTGAGGAAAAAATGGAAAGTCGGATTTCTTAATAGTTTGGTAGTTTGACTTTATGGCAGAGTGATCGGTCTCTGTGAATAACGAGGCTTTACAGCCGCTGAGCTGGTTTCTCCTTCTGGACCCGCAAAGCCGTGAGTCCTCTGTGATCTCACCGGGCCCGCGTCCACGCGGGCGTCTGTGCGGATCCCGGGGAACTGATTTGGGTTTCTAGCTCTTCTTTTCAGTCCTTGGAACACCGCCCAGCTGATCGCACTGTTTTTTCCCTCCAAGTTTGCGCTGACCGGCGCGGGCAGGTCAGTCACGTTGGAACTCGTGTGCTCAGATTGTTACCTTCTGCAGTCGTGGATAAAGGCCGAAACGGGGCCGAGCACAGTGGAAAGCTGACCCGCGTGCGGCAGCATCGGGCCCTCGAGTTCCCTGCCAGAAGCACCTGTTCCCTGCCGTGTCTCCCGGGTTGGCTTTGACAGCAGTGTGTCGGGTCTGACCCGCGTGCGGCAGCATCGGGCCCTCGAGTTCACTGCCGTGTCTCCCGGGTTGGCTTTGACACCAGGGTGTCGGGTTCTTCATTCCGTCCAGCGGTCCGTGTGGGGAGTGGCCGCTGGAAGAGGGGCCCCGGGGGAAGGGATTTTTAGGAAGTGAGGAGACAGTCGTGCGCCCGCCTGGCCCTGCGTCCCGCGGCCATTCGTCAGGGTTTCGAGTGGCCGCGCGGGGAAGGGGACGGTGCCCACGCTCTGCACTCAGAACGAGCCACCGGTCCCCCGGCCTTTCTCCGGTCTTTGCTAGGTGACCGACCTCAATCCAGTCAATAATTAAATCTCTCGGAGTCCCAGTTTCCCTCACATCGGATGACGGAGCGTGGCACAGAGGAGTTGAGTAAATACTCCCCTCCCGCTTCCTTCGTCCTCAGCAGCTTTCGTGACCTGCCGTCCGATACTGAGAAGGCCCCACGTTGATGTGAGAAGTGACTCCCTTTGTTGTGGCTTTGGGGGCATCTTGGGGGCTGTCGTGTCTGCGTGGGGAGTGACTCTGAGAGCCCAGTGTCAGCACGAAGCGGCTGGTGTTGCCGGGAGGGATCCAGAAGCAGAGCCGGCCTCCACCCTCTCTGAAATCTGCTCCCTGAGCTTGGTTCCGGTGCCTCTGCACTACCGTGAGCGGCGGCCTCCCTGCCTCTCTCGCACGCTGGTGCTGGGGCGTGGGCGATGATCTGGACCGGAGCCATCTCTGGAGTGTCTTCTGCCCCCGAGTTAACATCGAAGACCAGATCTTGTGGCTCTGCCGTTATCCCTGGCCCCTCAGAGCCTCTTCTCCTCCTCTGTAAGATGGGGCGCTGGGTGAGCTCCTTGTAATTCCTTTAAGCTTTCCCAGTTTACCGTTCCCAGGAGCTGGGTTTTCCGTTGTTCATTAAGTAATTTATTTCCCTTGAAACAGTGCTTTGGTGGTTCTTTTCCCCCTAACAATGTTCATCAAAAGTCCCCTGGGGATTGGGTGGCTTCGGCGGCATCTTCAGTGGCTCCCCCACCTCCTTGTGATGGGAAGGTCCTACTGAAGGCCCGGCGTGGCCAGCTGGGAGAGCGCTGGCCGGGGCCGGCTCCCTCGCACACACTTTTGCAGAACGCCCGGCCACGCAGACGGACCCCACTCGACCTGCTGTCTCTCCAGCCCCTGTGGCGGTGGCCTTGGTGAGAAAGGTGTCGCCTCGCCCTTCGCCCTGCCTCAGGGGTTCCCGCGGGGCCAACTGCAGGGGACAGCCCCGCCTGCAATACAGACACCAGCGGTCCTCACCTGGGCGCTCCTGGAATGTGCAACGCCCCACGTCCCCCTGCCAAAGTCTGATGTTGCTAAGTCCAGGATTCCGAATTTGAAATTCTCCTGCAGGCGGGCTGCAGAGCGGGCGCCTTGAGAGAGGCTGGTCTCCAGTGTGTCCCCTTGGCCGTGTGAACCATTGGCAGCAGAATTTGAATGTTATTTACGAACGGGCTTCCTCTGACAAGGGCACGCTACTTTCATGTTCATCTCTGGGAGGGATTTATGATTTGTATGGGAACCAGATGGTTTTTAGCCTGGTGGGCTTGTCTCTCAAGCCAGGCAGAACTCGATGCTTGTCCACTCGCTAGAGATGGCAGTGGGTTGAAACCTGTCAGTACGCTGTTTAGAGCCCTGTTGGAATCTGAGCAATAAGCCATTTCATCCTTCGGCTCTTTAATTCTGGATTCAGGCTCTTAGGCTAAAAGCAGATTAGGTTGGATGTTAACTATGTAAATATTTTGTGTTGTATCAATTCGTTGATATTTTAAATGTGTCTCAATCACTGGGCATGATAATTTAGAGGAAAAAAATTTTCCAGAAGAGAAATAACAGTTCATTTTGGTGACTTTGTTGTGGTACTAACCCTTTTTCAATATAATCATCGCTTCCCAGGGTGAAAAGTTTGGACCGTTTGCTGGAGAGAAGAGGAAGCCCGAAGACTTGGATGAAAACGTGGATTACAGGCTGATGTGGGAGGTGAGCGCGCGATTGCCATTTTACGTATTTAAAATGTGTCTCGTGATACTATTTCGTGCTTTTACAAGACGCGTTAATACATATTGATTCCAGTTGACTCTTTAAGCATCGACATCTTTCCATTTTAAGGAACCAGAATAACTTGAAAGGTTAGCATCCAAAAAAAATAGTGTTGAAATATCTTCCTAGTCAATTCTTCTAGAACGCTAAAGTTTATATAGTTTATCATTGAAAAAGAAGTTTCTCATACATAAGGATGTTTGGATTGCAAAATAAGCATGTTCTTTTACTGGACTGAGAATTTCAATTTCTGTGAATGAAATTATACTTTATCTTTTATTTCTCAATTGTACTTTTCGTTATTTAAAAAATAATTAATTGTAGTTTTAATTATTTAAAAAATAAAACTACATATTTAAAAATGTAGTTTTAATTGTAGTTTTAATTCCTCTTAAGGAGGTGTGGTCTTGTAAGGTTTTAGAAGTAACATAGTGTGAGACGCACAAAGTGAGTCGAGGACAGTCTGCTTTACCTGCCTGACCCTGACTTAATGGCATCTAAAAAGTTTTACATTTGTGTTTCTAAATCTATCCCTTTGAAGGCTCATGAGGAAAACTGTTTTTTTGTTTGTTTGTTTGTTTGTTTTTACATAAGGCAGTGGAATTACCAGGGCTGGTGGTCATTATAACCTACCAGATAGCTGCATATTACAAATGTGCAATATCAAATTATTATACTTTATTTTTGTCAGCGGAAAAGATTTTGAACTTCTGGGTAAATAACATGTTTTCAGAAATATAGCTACTAAAATATATGATGAGATGATGTGCAGGTGTTTTTGTATGAATTGTGAAATCTCCTACAGTTATAGTAAGTTATTATTTCGAAATAAATGAACATGTGTACATTTACCATGATATTAAACTAGGTGAGTTGGGGCCCCTTATGTAAGTGGACTTTAAAAACAGTCCATATGGATTGTTTCGGGAAACTTCCTTTCCAGCCCCCATTCCCCAGGTCGCTTACACACTGGCGATGCTTCCTAGTTAATAACTCCTCTCTCCTGGGTTCTCACCAAGGCGGGACAGGTAGGAGCCAGGTGAAGATTAAAATGTCTGCCTCGTGTTTTGAGCATACCGTAGCTCTGCAAGTTCATGGCTCCAGAAAAGCTGGATTGGAGGATGTGACGGATCCTAGGCCAGAATGCGGGCCTCCCACGCCGCTTCTTAACTCTTGACCTTTGTCCCTCGTGTGGCAAGAGTTGGGTCTGTAGAGTGGATTCTGGATAGATTTGCACGTCAACTGCGTAGAAAATTATGGCCTGACTTACTTGGAGGACACCAGAGGTGAACCTGGAGAGGGGTCTGGGGAGGGACCTGGGGAGAGAGGGACTAATGGTGTTGGGTGAAAACAGTATTCTTAAGAGAAAAAAAAAATTTGACCCCTAACTCATCTCATATATAAAAAATTATTTTAATCATTGTAAATGTACACATGTAAGATAAAAACAGTAATAAACCTTTAGGAGAAAACGTAGGAGAATAATACCTTCATGATCTTAGAATGGGTGAAGGGTTCTTTAATAATAAGCAGTCAACGCTATAAAGGGGAAAACAATACACTGGAGACCTAAGTGTTCATCGGAACATACCACGAAAGCAATGAGGAGCAAGCGGCAGGGCGGGAAGGCATTCGTAACACCCTTGTCTGGAAAAGGGTTTGTATCCGAAATAAATTAAGAACTATGACGTGATAGAAGAAAAGGAAAGAAAAATGGGCAAAACACGCGAACAGGCGCGTCACACCAGAAGACGTCCGCACGGCCGATGACCACGAAGGACGCTCAGCTTCGTCACCTGGGAAATGCAGACCAGTGGCCGAAGGCCATCGAAGGGACTCTGCAGCCTGCTGGGCTGTGCTCACCCCTGGAGGAGAGCGCTGAGCATGCCGTGTGTGGAGAGCAGGCTGCGGGAGGCGGGAGGCGCGTCCGGCCCGTGCTCCAGGAGCGATGCGGTGGTGGCCTGAGCCTTGGGGTTGGTGACAATGGCTGGCTTCTGCTCGTATGTCATGGGCAGTAACTCACACCAGTGGGGCTTGCCGATGGATTGTGTGTTGAAAGAGACAAGTCCAGAATGGCTGAAATGTCCGGCCTGGGTGGCAGGTGGTGACGTTTCTGAGACAGGGCAGTTGGAGAGAGAGCGACGGGGGTGGCAGGCCGGTGGGGGGGACCACTTCCTCCGCAGCGACCTTTTGGAGGCAAGGCGTGGTCAAACTCATTGTCACTCCTCAGGTCTTAGCACCGTATCTAGAACGTAAATATAATCGGATAATAGTACGGTTCATTTCAGACTCCATATTTAATAACCCACTCATACTCAGTAAACACACTGTGTATATGTGTGTTATTTTTACCTCTGGCATTCTTAGGACATGTGTAATTTAAAGGTTCAAAAAAAAAAAGAGAAAACTTATCAGTTCCCTTAGTATTTTAATACCTTGGGTTTTTCTGCTTCGTAGACGTTTTTCTTTGTCGTGAAGATGGTGATTTGACTGGAATTTGGTTTTCAGAGAAGCTGATTGGTTGGATATCACACTGGACATTTTCTTTAGCTGTTTCCCTCTCTTTCTGCAGTTCTGTGATTACAGCTCTTCTGCTCTTTGGGAACTTGATTCAGCCCCAAGTTTCCAATGTGTTTTATTTTTGGAAGAAATGTTTCCAATTGTTTAAAACCTTTGATTTCCCTTGACTGTTTATGGAAGTCCTTTTAGGTGTTTGCAACAAAGATGTCTCTTCACCAAATGTTTCTCTTTCGCAGATGATAACGTTTTGTTTTAGGTTCCAAATGGAATCACTTAGTGTAGACACACGATAGTGGAAAAGTACCACCTAGGAAGCCCGGTGGGACGCCGGGATCCCTAAAGCCAACGTCACGGTCCGCCCTCCTGGCTCTGACCTCTAGCCGGGGATGAAGCAAAGCAGTGGAACGTCACCTGTCTTTGGGAAGTTCTGCTTTGGTTATGTGGTTGTCTTTTCTCTGCTTTTCACAGAGCGGGCTCCTACCTGAGTGTGTCAGCCAACTCCTGGCCATTCAGCCAAACCTCAGATATGCTTCCAAGCATGTTAGGAATCCAGGCTCACTAAGTTGGTTAGGAAAAAAGAAAACCGACAGTACCAGCAGTATCGGAGCGCTTCACCATGTTTGTGGTTCTGGTCAGAGCTTACGGCGCTGTAGGAATTTTATCAAATAGCTGCATTTGGCTGCAAACAATGGCAACTCCAACTCATTTACAGAATGAGGACATTATGTCAAATAAGAGGAAATTCAACAGTCGGGCAGGCTTCAGGGATGGTTGTTTAGTTAGAGTGGTGACATTACCCATGCTCTTTCCACCTCTCTGCTCTGCCAGCCGTGGTAGTGGCCTAGTCCTCAAGCCGGTGGCAGGCATCGGGCAGGGTCGGACAAGAAGTGTCCGCAGCGCACACGGACTCCCCCTTCTGTAGCAGAAATCCCCTCGCATGTCACATAGTCGTTTTTGAACTGGCTGACGATGAGGTTGCTTTGCCCAGGCGGGATCATTAAATGGTTAAAAATTAAGTACATACTGCGAAAGATACGTCGATTTACCTTTAAAAAGCTCTGAAATTGGCTCGTGGAAATACCTGTCGGAAGGGTTGCGACTCGTGAGTTCTTACGAAGTGGTGATGGCGGGGGTTGTCTGGAGTTGGGCGGAGGGTTGTGGCACCTGAAGTGGATCGCTGTGTCTCTCAGCACCCGTGAGCCGGGGAAGCTGGGAGGTCCTTGGGGTGCGGGGTGCGTGGACCTCTGTGCGCCCTGTTCAGTGGATGCTGTCTCCTGTGTTCACCTCGTGCTCTGGGAGACAGAACCGCACAAGCAAACACTTCGTGTTATGTCCTTGTGTATCGGTCACATTAGAACCAACTGACATTTGGAAACAAGGGTAGCAGAAGAAACTATATGCGTTTGGAATAGTGATGGGTTTTTAGCTTTACGAAATAGCGCTTTAAAAACATCTTGGCTTTGATCACTTGTCCAGCGCAGCATGGTGCCTGCCCATTAAGTGACTGTTCTCTGCAAAAGGAAATGTCGGGAAGCATTATCCTGTCTAAGGAGTAGCTCCCAAGATGTTCGCCCGGTGTCCCCTGCCCCTTCTCCCCTTCTTACTGACCGCTTCGTCCGGCCACTCCCCCTGCCCTTCCACTCCTCACATCCCTACCTTTTTCTTTGGGATCTAATGTCGGCTCTGCCCCAGAGACCCCGCCGGCGCCCCACAGCTGCTCTGCCGGGGCCTGGAGAGGACGGATGGTTTCAGGGTCGGCCTCCGAGGCGTTTGACGAGCTGTGACTGGCTGACTCTGGCTTGGAAGGAGCCCCGCTCTCTAATTCCATACCCGCCGAGGGCTGCAGGCCCTGTGCAGCCGCGGTCACCCTCAGCACGGTGCCCCTGCAGTGTCTGGCTACGGGGCAGGAAAGGGGGGGTTGTCCATGCTAATCATTGGGGCGATGGCTAGGATTTCAGAACCGTATGAAATAATAACAGTAGTAATAAGCAATCGTGTCTTCTTGATTTTAATATCGGTGCGTATGTGTTTCAGCTTTAAATATATTGGCTTTGATTTACATTGCCTATGGTTTTCACATTAAAACGATATCTTTTTTTTTTTTATTTTTAGTGAGCTGAGAGTTTTTATCAGGAAGGGGGTTAAGAAGTGACACCAGTCAAATAGGCTTAAAATGAGGTTTCGTCTGCTTTTTCCTTCTCTTGTGAATCTGAAGCAGAAATACCATTTTAAATTGTACACATTTAATCTAGTTCATCTAAAAAGTAAAGGCAGAAAGAACAGATAACATTTCACTTCTGCTTCCTGCTCCCACTTTGTCGATATGGGATTAAGTCATCATTATAGACTTCACTTAATCATCCGCTTCAATAATAGCATTTTTACTATTGGGATTTTTGAGTTCCCGATTTTGATTACTT